CATATATTTTCCCACTACGTTTATGACAGTCCTACGGGGGAAGCGTTATTATTACCATTTTCCCTCTCCCAAAGTTTCCCTGGTAACAACGAGAGTATAGTTTGGATGTGGTATTTCTTACAGCAATATTTACTCTGTTCTGTTTTATAAAATAAATTTATTTTGAATAAAATAGCTTGTTTTTTTAACATTCATATATATCAAGTGTTATTGTTTATTAGACTAAAATGCATTGGGGTTCAAAATTTAAATATCAAACTATTAATATATAACATTTTAAAAATTGTCTTATATTAGTAAAGAAAAATTGTGGGTTGGCATGTGCACTAGAAATATTTTTTCTTAAAAAAACACTAATCAAAATCAAATTTTATCTGCTTCTATATTTGTCAAGGTAGCCATGTGGGGCAATAGCAAAATTGGGGTTTCTCCTAGCTATGATTTCCAATGATTTGTTGATTTATAACATGCCTCAATACTGAAGTTAGAGGCAAACTTTTTCTACCTAATTAAGCTTGCTGACAGGGTAGTTCCTTGCATATGCGAAATGTGCTTGCATTTGGAGCCCTGTTGCCTGTTCTCTGCAAAGAGGGCAATGTTTTCAAATCAGAAGACATTTGCAGCTGTTCAGCTAGTTGACTGATCACTTCTGAGATTCTCTTCCCCAAAATAAAAATCATCTGGGGACTAATTGTTAGTCAGAATAGTAACAGAGCTTGGCATTCTGAAGATCTCTTCATCACCGTATTTCACAAATCTGAGCCCATCTCCGAAATCCTGGGCCTCTCTGCCAAAGTCCAAGTGGATAACAGAGTCCTGAGTGGTAAGAGAGATTCTCTGGGCAGGTTTGGGGGTAGGACTGCACATTTCTTACGCACATTTTCCACTGCACATCCATGTGGCCCTACACCTGATTAGTAGAATCCTACAGAATGATGTGCTGCAGCAAACAGCACTGCATATAGAATTCCATCATCTGGGATGTATCTTTGCTCCCAGTTGACAGAAGCATGGAATAAGTAAGCAACTGCCCTATAGACCTTGTGTGGCTCTGGTAAGGATAGTGGTCTCTAGGGTAGGGATTTTCAAATGGTGAGCTGTGGCACATGGGTGTACTGCAAGAATTTTTAAAACATGCAAGATTTGACTTTTTAGTGAGGGGGCACTGACCTCTTTGCCTTTAGATTGTCAAATTGAAAAAATGGCAACAGCCAACAGCCAACACAGTGATAGCCTCCCAGTGTGAATGAAACAAAATTATATCTTTTTTTTTTTTTGGTCAGATTGGCAAAAAATATAATGTATTTTTTGGTGTGCCACCAAATTTTAGGAATTAGTTTATGTGTGCTGTGAGATGAAAAGGTTGAAAATCGATATTAGGGCGTCAAATGCATGAGCATGCTTTGTGAAGTATTAAACACATTCACACAAATATAAATTATGATTAACATTTGTCTGCCATTATCCTAACGTTCTCATAATTCTCTTCATTAAGAAGAGGATGACTCAGCATATATAATGTCACTATGAAGAATATGTTTAGAAATTTTACTAAATAGAATACATTTTAAACTTGTTATAATATACCTATAGCTACCAGAAAACCTCTGCTATTTATTGTCTATTATAATAATTGAGTTTTCATTTAGTTGACCCTAATCAAAAAAACCTATATGTAGGTCAAACCCTAGGGACAATGAGTTATGTGGCCTCAGGCAAGTCATCTAATTTTCCCAAGCATTTCTCCGACTGAAATGTCAGGGTTTGGGGATAAGGTTGGGAGGGGTAAGAAAGAGATGAGGCAGAAGGAGCAAACAAATGGGTCTAGGTTACCTGCTTCAGCATCTATACTCTTAATTCTCTACCTTCAGTAGAACTCTGGCCTTAGGTAAATGGAGCTCTGCTGGTTTAGAGCTCTACTTACTCATAGATTTTCATGTTCAAAATGCCTGAGGGAGCCAAGACTAGCTCTTTGGAAACAGCATTTCTAAAGTGAGGTTCCAAGTACAACAGCTAAATTTGGTAATCTGACTACAAATACCCAAGAACTTCACAGAAGCCATAAAGCGTGGCAGAGAGGAAATGTTTGTTGACTGCTTGATTTGCTGACAGGCAGAGACAGTTTGGTGACTACAGTAACTTAGAATCCCTTCTGGGAAGTAACTGGTTGGCTAGGGACAACATTTGTCAACCTTCCATTGCATCTAAGTGGAGCCGTGTGACTGTTTCTCCTTATTAAAATAAAAGCCAGTACATGTGTGTCACTTTTGGGTTGAGAAGTAGGTGTAATTCTTGATGACCTCTTTTTTCATCTGTTGGCTGCCTCTGAGTACTTAGAGGCAAGAGAAGCCACAAGGCAGAAAGATCCAGGATTCATAAACAATCACATGGAAGGCCACCTGCCAGCCAGGAACAACCAGATAGAAGTTTGCGTGAACAAGAAATAAATTTCATTGCGCTAAGCCGCAAAGACTTGTGGCTATATTGGTAGAGTCACTCTAGTTAATATAAAAGGCAAAAAATAAATTTCACATTTTACAGAGTTAAACCTAGAATAACTAAAACGATACTAAACAGATTGAGCTGGCCTTGAAATAATTAAATTTTCTGCCATCAAGCAAAATGGAACATTAAAATAGAAATTATAGGAAAATGAAGAAAGTTACAGTTGTTTTCTTCCTTGAGTTTACAACTTGTAAAACTCATACCTGTCAGATACTAAGAATATTTTAATTTTGCTGCCTCCTGTTCAGCTAGATATTGTTTGCTTTTCTGCAAATAATTTTCCCTATTGTTCTTATAAGTGAGTGAAGTGTATACCACATTCTATGTGGCTTTTTAGTGCAGTAGAGACTAGTACACTATTCAGGGTTTTTTAAATAAGTTATGTCAAGGTGATTGTTAGTTGGGTTCAGAAGTCAACTACCTTCCATGTAAAAGTTGAGTTTAATAGAAACCAAGAATGTCACTTTTTTCCTCCCTTTAGAGTTAGAGAGCTTCTATTGCAGTTTGCCCAAGTTTAAAGTAAAAGTTTCGTTTGGGGGCCATCTTGTACTAGGTCCTTTAAAAAATGTCAGCATTATTCCTTGTGCCAAAATGAAAAACAGCTTAAGAAGAGCAAAAACTAATTGTGTATATGATCAACCCCCCTCCACGGCCCAGCAGAAGGAACCACTTTGCTTTTCAGTCCAGCTGATTCTAACAAGGTAACAGGCAGAACTGGGGGGAAAAAAGTAAGAATCGCTGTTCAAAGTTAGTGAGATACAATTTTACTTAGTAATTGCAGAAATTTTAAGAATTAGAGCTTTAATTCAGTGTTCATTTATTCATCCAAAGCCAAAATCTTTTCAGAAAAACTACTTTAAACAACGTTGTTTTAGGGGTAAGTCCGGGGTGAATGTAGAATTACATTCCCTTTTCATTCTGAAAGTTTATCTACAGCTTCCTCCTTGCATCCACTTGTCCACAGTGTGGGTATAAACCCATTGTTAATCAAGTAACATTCTACTGCAAAAGCAGGCTAATTTCTTTTGCATAGAAGACCCAGATACAAAATGAGAAACCTTTTCCTTCTTTTGGAAGATAAATCAATTTAGACTAAATAAACACCTTAAATGCTTTATGATTTTACCATAACTACCAAAACTAAATGCTAAGAGAGAATGGATACCAGGGGAGCAAACCACTTTGACTTAAAAAAAAAAAAAAAAAAAGAAAACTTTACTGGGGATGGCAATAGGCTCAACTGAAAACACAATTATTCCAGACTCCCCTGCAGAAGTGATGGCATTTTTCATAGTTCACCCTTAAGACGTAAGACAAAGTTGCTATGCAATCTGGGAAAGCTCTTGGAGAAAGAGCTGATTCAGCTGGCACTTGACTTCTGCCTTATATACTTCCTGTTCCCCTACCTGGAATGCAGTCAGGATGCTAAAGATGAGGCAGCCATTTTGAGACCACAAGGCAACATATTAGAGGATAAGAACCATATGCTAAGGATGGCTAAGCGGAAGAAAAATGAGCTGAGGTCCCAGAGGACTGTGGGTTTCCCAGTATTGTGAAGTCCTACCTTAATGTTACTTGACCTTAACGTCAACTGACCTGACTTAATGTCACTTGAAAAAAAATAAAACCTCTATTTGAGTAACCTAGTGACAGTTGGATTACTCTCATGAGTTGTAAAACCTTTACCAAGCTGACCCAAGTAGATTGTAAGGAGAATGCTAATTTTTTTTTTATAGAACAGTTTCCTAACAAATATTTCAAAAGCATTCATTTATTTTGGCAATTAAACTGATACGCTCATGAATTTTTTCTTTCTTTCTTTTCTTTTTTTTTACATTTCTTAAAATGACTCCTCCAAGGAACACTACTAGGCAATAGTATATGCAACTCATATAAATGGATTATTATAGATGTATTTTTCCCCTCTATTTATTCATTCAGCGCACATTTATTGAGGGCCCAGTAAGCACAGTGCTGGGGGCAGGGATGCAAGGGTGAAAACAAATGCCTGACTACAAGGGGATCAGTGTACTTAAAGGTAATAAGTCAAAAATCTTTTCTAAAACATTCTATTTTCCAGTTCCATGCTTCTTATGGCCTGTTTATTTCATGTACATCAGTTCTACAAGAGACAGAAAAGCCTAACACCACAATCGACACTAACAAAATAAAAGGATCTTAACCACCAAAGTGGTTTCCATCGCTTAATATTCAGAATGCTTTTATATCTTGAAAATTTAACTCAATGTTGCACCAATATGTTTATTAGTTGTAAGAAATAATTGAATAAAATTTCTCATTATATCCATTACAGAACTTGTTTTCCCAAAATCAGGCTACTGCTAAAAAGACTAGTGCTACTCCACTTTGTTTTCTGCTATTTCTATGATTAAAAAAAAAATCATACCTTTACACCCGTATCCAAGGACAATTATTCAGTGGGGTCCCATAGGCAAAATACTGTGTGAGTATCCGGAAAAGCACTTTACACTCACCTCTTCCTCTGTGTCCCCTTAGGCACACCGTGTAACTTCTTTTCTTCCTCAGTTTCCTTAGGGGTTAAATGATGAAGTGAAATTAGATCATTATGTCGTTTCGTGCACCTAAAATTCTCTTATTCCCCATTTCTAGTCTGTGTGATGCATTAGTAGACAAGTTTCCCAGCTGAGAGCAGCACATTAAGATTATTTTTAAATGATGCATGGCTTCTTCTCTATTTCTGTTGTCTTAGGAATTGTGTCTTAGCCCACATCCCCATAGCAAACCACAATTTTATATATAATTAATTAATATAATACATCTTGTATTAATAATACCATAACACTGTACCCAGAATCAGAATACAGGACTGGTTTCATTATTTCTTGCTTTCAAGGACATGTATTGCGCACATTTGAGATAGCTGAATGGAAATTAGATGGAGACAGTATAATTTGCTAATTTGCTAATTTGGTTTTTAATTTGCTAATTTTTAAAATATCCCCCTCCCCAATATAAAAGTGAGTCTAACAAAGCGTATTTCAAAAGCATGTTTATGTTCTTGCCCCATTCTGAGATACTGCTTTCAAACTCTAACGAAAGATTTATTATACACCAAATCTGAATGCTGAAATTCAGATCTTCCTTTTTGGTATTTACAATGGAAGTTTAATTAATGAACACATCTGATAGTTATCTGCAAACCACCACAGAGAGGTACCTGTTTTTCTTATTGCTTTCATGAAAATATCTCAAATTGAGACACATTAGCACAGCCAGTTTAACCCACCCCACGCTGAATTTGATATACAAGAGTAAAAATGCTCTCATTTTGCTTGCAGCAAGGTGTTTAAGGAACATGAACACTCTTTGCAACCCTTTAGCTATCATCCTGCAAACCAACTCACACCTCCAACTATTGCTCTCATTACATACACATATGTTCCCCTTTACTCACCACAATGAGTTAAAGGAAGAGAAAAGCTCTTGGTGGCAGCCTTTGAGTCATTACTTTGCATTACATTCCCTTCATTTTAGGTGTCATGGCACAGTACTTTACAGACAGCAATTCATTCTGCTTGGTTTACTGCAAACACTGAAAGAACGCAGGGTCTTGCACTTGCTGGAAGATTTAGGTTTTATGCTTCTGGTCATTCTTCCCACAAAAAGAATGAGACCAGTTTCTGAACTATTCTTAACTCTCCTTCCAAAACATTTCAGAAGAGAAACACAAGAAAGACTTCATGATTTTCATGTAAACTCCCAGCCTGCCCGCCTGCCTGCTGCTGCCAATACTTCTTACTCTTGCTGGTGATGACATTCAGCGAGCTCCCCAGTCCCGATGCTTCTTATGTAAGTCTGTCTAGGTCAAGTGTAGGAGACACACTGCTGGCCTGTGAAAACTCATGGAACTGTTACCTTCAGATTAACACTTCAGGGGCTATGGAAGCTGGAGGAAGCTGAGTTTGTGCTACATCTTTCAGGGGTAAATATTTTTGCATGATTCAGTGGTTTATGTGCTATAATCTTGGCAGCTGCCTGTCAGCCATGCTGAGAGGTGCAGGGAGCAATTACTAAGAGATTCCAGTTCTGTCAGCATGCCTGAATAAACAGAGTGAACGTTCTAGCAGTCTTAGCTTTAAGGCATTTAAGGAGTAAATGAATCATAAATTAGGGTCTGCTTATCAAGCCTCATCTCTAACCATCAAGGAGTGAATGTTGATTTGACTGTTTAAACTCTGCATGCAATCCATTTGCTCAGAGGTGTTGCAGGAGAGAGTATTAGATGTGGCTATTAGTTTGAAGAGATTTTACTGCAGTTCTTGGCTGTTATGTTGCTCCTGCCTGATCGCCGATTTGCCTCCCTTGTGAATGAGCTAGATCTTTTTCCTGTATGTGTCTTCTGTTGTGATTGCGATAATATGAGAATGGAGCCTGCAGAACCTGGCAGTTAAGTGACTTCCGCAAATAATAAATCCTGCCTACTTAGTAACCAGGTGAATACTGCAGTAAGTGCGCTATTTGATTCTAGCACTGAATGATACTGGGCTAACTGCATTGATTCAAATTGTGCTGCATTTAGGGGACCTGGAGGCATAATCCCAGCTTTGACACGAGCAGTTATTCACTCTCCTAGTAAAAGAAGAAACCGTAGAGCGCTGATTCTGTTTTAGGCTCTCACACTGTGCCCTGGCATGGGAATTAGTTAAAAAAGCAGGCTCTCCTTGAATGCTGCAGAAAAGCCTGGAGAAGTAGCAGGGCGAGTGCGACTGCAGCAGCAGTGTGGTACAGGCGAGGAATTTTAATAACATTTAACCAGAGATGATGCTACAGCAGATGGCACCAAATTTAGAAGATAGGTGGATATGTAAAAAACTGAAGACAAATGTAGCACATTTGAAAGGGGTTGGCTTCCTGTGTGCCCTTGGCAAGTGAAGTTCAATCCCTTGGACAGGATGCCATGAGTTAGTAAAACGAAGGCTGTGTAAACCGCCTTCATGAAGTAAGGAGCTAAAGGGGAAGCTGAATGTTCAGTCATCGGGTGTCTCTCAATGGGGGGACTGTCACAAGGCTGGTTAATTAGAGCACCTTCACTGAGTGAACAGGTTGTTTTAAGTAACTGGAATTTCTTGCATTCATTTCATTAAATTAAAGGAATGAAAATAATGTTACTAAAATAAATTTCTTTTGGGGTACTTTTCATTCTATTAATCATGATTAACAGCTGCATATTGATTACTTATAGTGGGAATGTACTACTTATCATTTATGCTATATTTAATTGACTAAACATGTCCATGTTTCCCCAAATAATTTGAAGAGACAGTTATGGTCCCTCAGGGCCTGATTTTATATTATTGATGTCAATAGGCATTTTCCCTGTAGACTTAGCTTGGCACGAGAGCCTCATCAAACCAGGTTTTACTCAGTTCGGCATTTACAATATTCCTCATAAATGTATTATTAAAAATGATACGTACATTCTTAGTTGTACTCACAATCTTTGACTTTATATATCTTCAAGATAACACTTTCGGTGCTCAAACTGTCTATAAATGATTTTCATTTGATGTTTTTTAATTGGCTATTGTTGAAAGGGGTTCTTTTTTTGGCAATGAAGCTTAAAAAGTTCTATTAATTTCCTCATTTTTAAAGAAAAGTATTTAAGTTATATGAGGTATAAAGTTAATTTTGGTTCTTCCATCTAAGTGTGAATTAGCTTTATTGATTAATATTTTCTAAAGTGAGATTATATTTTTAAAACCTACAATATCAGGACTAACATTCGTGGAGTACCTGTTCTAGGCCAGTGGTTCTCAAAGTGTCACCTCCCCACTTGCCCCCCCAAAAAAACTGTGACCTCCTGACCAGTAGCAATAGCATCACCTGGTAATTGGTTAAGAATGCAGATTTTCAGGCTGCCCTCAAGGCTTACTGAGTCAGAACCTCTGGGGTTGGTGTGGGGTTGTTTGTTTTTTAACAACCTTCCCCCTGGTTATTATGAAGAATGCTACACTTTGAGAACCACTAGCTGGGCCGTATTTTGGTTAAATATGAAAAATAGCTCTTACTACATTCAATCAAATATATATTACATAATGAATTTCTCTGTTTTCCTGGTTGCCCAGATTTCCCAATGTATGCAGGACTGTGTTTTAAAGATTTATTCAATTGTGTATTGTATACCGTAAGCCTAAATTTGTCATAAGAAGCTTTATATTTTCCAACAGTTCCATTTTTAGCTTTTAGAAGTTCCATAGTGTAATGGGAAAAACTGTAAAAGACCTATCTCCTCTATATGCTCCCTGTGTAACTTCGCATGTCACTGACCTTCTTTGATCTTTGGTTCTCATTTGTTTCATGAAAGGTTGGCCTAAGTCAGGGTTTCACAACTTGACACCACTGACATTTTGGGTTAGATATTGTTTCCTGTGGAGTCTGTCCTGTACATCCTATGATGAGGAGCATCCCTGGCCTCTACCCACAAAGTGACAACAGCAGCCCCTGTTTGTGATAATCAAAAATATTTCCAGACATTAACACATGTCCTCTAAGGGTAAAGTTGCCGTCCCCGCTCACATCTTCCACATCCCCTCCCCATGTTAGAGAAGCCCGGGCCTGGGTTAACTCCACTCTGTTAAATTCTATTATACTAAGTAATACAACAAAAGCATTATTTCTCCTTTTGGAAATGGGGAAGTTAAAAATTACAAATAACTAAATGTATATCTTACTGGTTTAACGCAGGTAAAAGTTGAGGCTTCTTTGCCCCCTTGATGATTTAGATACATATAATATGCCCAAATACCTCCCAATTTCAGAGTCTGAGAGTCCAAAACCCTTCTGCAACTATGCAGAGACTTAAAGGCTTACATTATCCTCTGTGTTCTGGAGTCCTGGTTCCATGTACACTTTCTCATCAGTGTAATAAAGTGACCTAGATTCCAACTGTCACTGGTTTCCACCAGAGATTTATCTATACCAGTCATCTTTCAGGTTTAATAGAGTTGCTAAGGATTTGGGCTCTTCCCTGCCATCCATTACCCTCCATCTCCCATCGCCTTATCCCCTCCCTGCAAGATGTTTGGAGAGCTACAAAAATCTTCTTCTACCATGCAGAGTAGTCCGGCTTTTCGCAGCTGTTATCTCTGGATGTAAATGTCCAAATCCACCAAAGAGTTCAGGAGATTAAGGGCCTTTGGTTTAGGGATATCTTCCTTTCACAGAACGCTGTTGGGATCACAGTATCATCACAAAGTCATAGAGCTGAGACTGATACTGAGTTTAAGTTCACTTTCATGTGTTTAGGAGTCATACTGAATGGTAGTCTCTGGTCCTTAAAATTACATATGTTGTATATGTAAAATCATAGAATTTTAAATTATACCTGCCCATGAATTGTTACCTCAAACAGGTAAGCAATTTTGTCCTGACATTTTCTAAAGTTAAGATGTATAGTAGAAGTAGGTAAGTCTACATGCACACAGATATACACATTTCCCAAGGTTTAGAAATTCTTTTTGTATGCTATACTATGAATTCAAATAAGGGTTGTTCCAAGATATCTGTGAATTATGGACTTAATCTAAAAAATGTGTATGAAAATCTACCAGATAGATATGAGGTCTGTACAGAAAAAGTAGAGCCACTGTTACTATGACGAGAACAGTTTGCAGAACATCGATGTAACCTGACAATTCAGGAGAGTGGACAGGAATGCACATACATGAACAATGATAACTTCACTGTACTAGTCAGTGGGGGTAGTGGACACCGCTGAGTGAGCATGTGTACTGTGCGGCCATTGCATTCAAAATGATTGAGTGAGTAGAGCAATGAATCTGCATCAAATTGTGCATTAAGCTTGAACATTCCTCTGCGGGAACTATTTGGATGATTCAGAAGGCCACAGCTATGGGCAACTGGTGACTGACAGCTTCATCACCACAACACACCTTCTCATGCATCACATCTCATGCAGAATTTTTTTGTGAAACATCAAATCACCCAGGTGACTCAGCCCCCTTACAACCCAGGTTTGGCGCCCTGCAACTTCTGGCTTTTCTCAAAACTAAAATCAATTTAGGAAGGGAAGAGATTTCAGACCATATATGAGATTCAGGAATATATGGTGGAGCAGCTGGTGGTGACTGGGAGAACTATGTGAGATCCCAAGGTACCTACTTTGAAGGGGACTGAGGGGTGATTGTCCTATGTCCCTGTATCTTCTTCAGTATATGTCTCTATTTTTCATGGTACATGGCTGAATACTTTCTGGACAGACAGCCAATTTCAATTAATCAAAAATAATAATAGCTTATATTTGAATGATTATACCTGTATTTCCAGGTAATTTTGTACACATGATTTGTTCTGAGACCCACTATAACTCTGTGTGATGGTCCCATTACTGTTATAATTTTACAGGTATGAAAATATAAGCTCAAGATTTCCAAATGCCAAATCTACTCTTTTCACTATTCTACAAGGCAAGACTCAATAGTGTATGTAGTTTGAACACTTTGGTGAGTATACTTTCTAAGTGTTTTTTTGATAAAGACCTATTTCAAGAATCTTCAAAGTCCTGGCTAATGTGGTTCAGTGGATTGAGTGCCAGCCTCTGAACCAAAAGGTTGCCAGTTCAATTC